ATCCAACCTTAATTCAACCCACGTTCCATCATTCTTCTTCTACTATCATCTTCATTCCAAAGCACAGTAACAAGTACCACATCATCTTCATCATTTTGGGCAAAGATCAAAGGAAAATCAAGCAACTGGCCCTGCAACCCTTACAGTAACTCTTCAAACAATAGTTGAGGGAGAAGAAAATAGTCTGTGATAGAAATAAATGAATTTTAATTCAAAAGGCTTAAAAACTGGATGAGCAATTGAAGAACTAACCTCCCATTACTGCAAGACAAAACTTAATCAAGAAGTACAATTTAAGAAATACTGTTGATTTTATGGTATCTTTTGGTTATATCCTTCATCCTTCAACCCAACATATAAAACAAATGAAACTATGTTATGTTACAGCCTTATTCCCACCAATAAAGGAAATAAGAACATCAGGACATTGATATTAATGTCCATGTATTGGCTAGCCTAAAGTTAAGATAGGATGTGTTGCTATGTGCATGGATATTGCATATTCTTTGAACTGATTCCATTTTTAATACTCATATATAATCCAGACATACTTAATACCTATCCACACTTATAGATTGTGTTTGCATATAGTGAGAAATTCTTAGTATATTGTTTTGTAAAAAATTCCTGTGCCAGTTCATGGTTTATGAATGTGTCACGAACAACTGAGTAAAACATAATGAGATTAAACAAGGATACCATATCATTTTAATAGGTTGTGAATATCAGAAAACTATTTTGACAGTTATGAAGACAGTAATCAAAATAAGAAATGATAGATAAGTTATTATATAGATGTGCCTAGGTGCCATTAATTAATCATGGACTTTAGGCATGTTTAAATACTAACATTTCTCAAAAAAAAGAGAGAATATATTCCAATTAAATATAGATGAAAGATTCAGATGTGCATCTTTTATGTATAGCTCAATTTATTGCTTTGGAGCATTTTCTCACCTTCATAAATGATGATTTAAAGATCCATCTGCTGCACGTAACATACTTTCTTAGACCACGCGTATATGGTGAGTCAGGTAGGTCTGTATAAATTATCATAAATATTGTGTGACACAACACTGCGTTCCTTAAATACATATGTATTATACTTATTTATTTATTTACCTCCACAAATATACTTAGGAATAATAGCTTACATGAAAATCCATGATTGCTGCTTTTATGAATTCGAAGCATAACAAATAATTTTAGAAATGGCTTTGATGAGTTAACCCGCCACAAGGAGTTTTCAGAAAATAATTCTCAACAGAAAATCTTTTGACAACTCAACAGACACTGAACCAAATATATGCATGTGACTTTAGCATCTGCTCTTCACATTGGGTTTGATCATTCAAAGGGAAGGGCATTTCTCCAAACACGAAGTCCATTTGTTATCTTTGCATATGGTGCTCATGTGACTCATTTGAGATTTATGATTTCCTATTTTGCTATGATTCTAGAAGCGGGATAACCAAATATGGAAGCAATTCATGCTTCTATGAGTTACATTTTACTTTTCAGAAGCCAATCTCTTTCAGTTCATTGCTATTAGAAGTAGTATCTTTATTGGGGAATTGTTCCCATCTAGAAAATAGTTAACAAATTTGCCTATTAAAAAAGGAGCCTAATGTAGATGAGGTGTATCGGGGCTGAATCATGACACCTTCATCTTAAATTGCCTACATATTACAACACAAGCATGACATTCCTAGCTTATATCTTATTCACTCCTATAAAAGCCCATTAAGTGGAATTAAGATTGAGTAGATTCATTGGAAAGTCAGGGAAGATATTAATCAAAAAAGTATACATTCTTATTTAATTAAATAATTTATATGCATAGCTTTAGAAAATATAAAAATTCATACAGTTTTCATATAGCACGATCAAGGCATTATTTAAAGAGTGTATTATTTAATACTGCCAGCATAATTCAGAAATAATGTAGAAGTATTTGGCCAAATGTGAAGCAGTTCCTCATTGTATATCCAGTTGTCAAGTGAAGATTTCTTTTTCCATTGCTTTTAATAAAACCAATTCACTTAAGAGGATTTTGGACAGGGCTGTTCTCCTGTACCTTGCATTCCAAATCTACAAAATGCTTGGTTTATTCCATTACAATTATCATGTCAAAAATGTTAAGTTTTTGAATATTCTGAATTCCCCATAATAAATTTTATGGACTGCAGCTTTCAACTCTGTGAAAGAGGACAAAACTCTTACTTTTCTAGAATGATAGTTGATCGGCTATGCAAATCCACTGACACTGATTACCGCTAGTTTGATTCAGAGTTGCAAGTCCATCTCCTCTGTCTGCACTGTAGTGTGTAGCAATAAATCTGTGGCCTCTAGGGCTTCTATTGAGCTGTACATGTCGAAGGACTTTAAAAACTCATTTCTGTTTATAAACATGTAGCTTTTGTTATTGTTTCATTTGATATATAAATTTAAATCTCTTGCATTGAGTAGAGTAGGAACGACTAAACAGAGTTCAAGCATTTACTGGCCAGATGCCTTTCCTGATGCCTACATGGAGTTCACAGCAGACAATTATGCATTGCGCCCAGAGAGAGAAAATCTCTGCCGCTACTTAAGATCAAACTCACAGCCTTCGGATTGTGAGGCGAGAGCTCCACCTCTAGGCTACCATGCCCTCATGAATTAAACTTCATTGCAATATTACTATATTACTATTACAACTCTAACTCCAAAGGAAATCATTAGACAGATCTGTACAGGGTTCATTTATTATTTTTAGAGGTTTACACTTGCTGGTCTTATAATATGATAATATTGAAACATAACAACTTTACTTTTTTTTAAGGTTTAAAAGAAAAATTCTTTATTTGTCCAACTGAAAAAATATATTTAAGGTCTTAGTTTTTTCTGATAGCATTATTTTGATCAGAGAAATATAATTGTCATATTGACATTCTACATGCCATATTTTGGAAAGCCATACGATTAGAAGAAACATTTTGCCAATAGTTAGAATAGGTCTAAGACAGGGATGTCAAATTTGTAGTGGCACGTCATCACATGACATATCACCGCATTTTCTCCCTTCGCTAAACTGGGGTGGGTGTGTCCAGCGCATGGTGCATCCAGCCTGTGGGCCGTGGATTTGACACACCTGGTCAAAGATACTTCTGCTAAAACATTGTCTTGACTAATCAGGGAAATTGCAATTACAACTAGGGAAGAAAACCTGCTCAGCTATGCCAACGGTTGTAATGGAATGTATTAAAGACCATCAATTTACTTTTACAGTGTTTCTTTTCAAAGTACTATGCTTTAAAAGAAATATTTCTGTCAAAAATTATCATATCTATAAATGGTTTAGTCTGAATGTTGCAAACTTTTAATAGCTGTAAAATTTTAATGACTTTAACACTTAGATATCCTGCAATCTTACCCAATAATGCCCCTGTGAACTAATGAGACTTTGATCCTTGAATATGTTTTAGAAATAAATATATATAATTAATTGGGTGAGAGGGGTGGTTGAACAGTTTTTAGGAGCACCATATTGTTGACCCCTGGAGTATTGTGAGAAATACAGGAAGAAACCAAATGTGAGTTGAGAAGCAATTTCAGATATGGAGTAAGTTGAGAAATTGAGCTAAATTATTTTGGACTTATAAAAAGTGATAGGTTGGCCACCTGTTTTGTTTCTATCAAGCCACACTGTGAACAGCTGAAGAGCTACTCATTTGAGGCAACAAAAAGAGGATTTTCCATGGCAGTCCCCATACCTAGGTAGCTTCTTGGGAAGATTAATATGCCAACCATGTGATTGTAATCTGAATGCAAGGGGAGACGTTTTAAATTTTTGCAAATAAGAATTAAAAGATCCAAATTCTAAGCCACTGCAAACTCTCTTTGGATTTTCTATCTCATTCTGCTGCATTTTTGTTGAGTGTTTTTCTCTATGCTATACTGGGCAAGACGGAGTTTTGATCAATCTGAAAAGGAACCATTTTGCAAGCCTCCTGCTAAGTTCAGGAAACAGTTTTTCTTCCTTATTATGTGGGTTATATCATCTGTCCAGAAATAAAGACAACACCATCTGAAAAGAGGAGAGTGTAGATATAATTTATGCAATAATGTACAGGCAGTCCTCGACTTACGATCACAATTGAGCCCAAAGCTACTGTTGCTAAGTGAAACACTTGTTAAGTGAATTTTGCCCCATTTTACATCTTTTCTTGACACAATTGTTAAGTGAATCACTTCAGTTATTAAGTTAGTAACGCAATGGTTAAGTGAATCTGGCTTTCCCTTTGACTTTGCTTGGAAGGAGACTGGAAAAGGTGACACTGCAACCATCATAAATATGAGTCAGTGGCCAAGCATCCAAATTTTCATTGGGGATGCTGCAATGGTTGTGAGTATGAAAAATGGCCAAAGTCACATCTTTTAATGCTGTTGTAACTTTGAATGGTCATTAAATGTACCCGTTGGTTGAGGACTACCTATATAATTCTGGTTAATACATGACTAGTCGTTGTGCGTTTCTTTGCTTATGCATCCCGAAACCTATTTTGTTTCTTATTAGTGTCTGAATAAGAGAGGAAAAACTCCTATCATACAAACTTTCCTTGAATATATATATATATATATATGATCATATATAAATGATCATATATAAATATGGCTGTGTATGTTCCAGCATAACTCTTGGACACCTCGAGCAATTTCAACCAAACACAGATGACTTTCTGGGAACAAATACAGTAGGGTTAGGGTCCCTAACACGCCTCGGAATCCGTGTGCGTGTGTTCCAGCATAACTCTGGAATGACTGGGCTGCTGAAATGAAAAGGACTGAATTATATCTATAGTGTCAAGTCACAGTACTTTTGACAGTGATACGGTGCCTTTTGGATTCAAGTTCTGTTAAGATAGAACCTGTTGTGCCTTAAAATGGCTTCTACTCTACAGCACAGTGGAGTTTCCATGGTAACGGCTTCGCAGTACTCCACAAGGAGGCTCACTCTAATACAGGATTGGGATAAATATATACTCGGGCTACGCTGGGTTATCAGCTAGTATATTAAAAAAATAAAAATCCATCAATGCCAAGTTGTGCTGCTGATACCAGTCATGAATGCTTTTCTTTTCAGAAAAGGATTGTTGAAGTCTAATTCTCCTGAATCTGGTAATACTCACATTATACTCATTTTTGCAATTGTGTAAAATATTCTACAGATGGGGTTTAGAAAGGCAAGGAAAATTACCGGGTCTTAGATATTTTAAAAAGAACTTGCTATTGAACTACCGACTTCTTTTGCTAGTTTAACTATAACGTGTGCAAATGTTATTTCCTCTTACATCTAGAGTTTGCAAATATACAACATATATAAATACATTAACAATAATAATACATATTTATACAGAACACAGCACTACCTATATTAAGAATTGCAGTGCTACTCTTTAACTGCCTTTTGCAATAAGATAATGGGATAAATGTTATTTATACACACAGAGACACACAAAACACTCTACTTTAAAATTGATGGAGTACAATAATAATGGGTGTATCTTCAACTTGTGACACAAAAGGAGCCATAATCAGCCAATGGAAAACACAAGAAGACATGGATTCAGATGTTGACTCTTTTTAAGGACATTTAGGCAGTTTTTTCTTCATAAAGGATGTGTATATCCTCCAATCAGAACCTCCTAAAGCACAGACAATGTTAACCAATGTTAATGGCTTCTTCTGTTTAAGCTTTCCTTGCTATTACAGGAAATTTGAATTATTTATATGGAGATCCACCGTGATTTCACAAAGACAAAGGAGAAGTTATCGATCATCCACGTGTCTCAAATAATATCTATGGACAACAAAAGTCTGTTCTCGTCACCCATCTGTACCACTAATGGTCCTGAGAACATCGGCCTTTCCTCAAACTTATATCATCCAAACCAATTTCCCCAGTTCTTCCTTTTCCTTTTTCTCCTTTAAAAATAACCTGAGAGAGGAAATAAAAAAGACATATGAGATTGATTGGGTTCATATATCACTAACCTGTTGCTTACTTAATAAGTAACAATTGTGACCCATCAAATGAGCGCCCGACAAAAGCGAGACGACAAAACCGTGACGATAAAAGAGCGAAGACAAAATCACACCCACAGAAGTGCACCGCTAAATGCGCGCCGACGAAAGCGCGATTAAGGTTAAGGTAAGGGTTAGAGTTAGGGTTAGGGTTAGGGTTAGGGATAGGTTTAGGATTAGGATTAGGTTTAGGGTTAGGGTTATTACGTTGTTTTCGTGTTGTTTCTTGATGGCACGCTTTTGTCGGCGCACATTTATCGGCGCGCTTCTGTGGGCGCAATTTAGACCTCACTCTTTTCTTGTCGCTGTTTTGTCAACACACTTTTGTCGAGCGCGCATTTGTCAGTGAACCAGTAACAATGGCTTTAGCTATACATAACACCAAACTATGAACCATGATTTATGAAACACAACAATTATGCTCACACATTATACTAAGTAACACTGCATTTTAGATAAGTGTAATGTGTGAACTTGGCAACTTTCAGTTTATATATATACCCTAACCTTTTGTTTATTATATGATCTAGGATGTTCAGAGAAATATAGAATATTTTTGAATAGGAATATCCTGTTTCCATAAAAATAAGACCTCCCTGGATAATATGCCTAATTGGGCTTCTGAGTGCATGTGCTAAAATAAGCCCTCCCTGAAAATAAGCCCTACCCATAAATATTGCAAAACAGCAGCAGCCATGAGGTGAACATGTTCACCGCCTCCTGCACCTCAAAAATAATAAGATGTCCCTGAAAATAAGGCCAAGTGCTTATTTCAAGGGTCAAAAGAAAATAAGACCCTGTCTTAGTTTTGGGGAAACATGGTACTATAATTGGCATTTACATATGATGTACATTTATTCAGATTTAGCTCTAAGTTAATCACAGATTATGAATGGATTTATAACAGTAAGGGAGGTTTCTAAAGCTATAAAAAGATTAAACTAGGAAAGGTGCCTGGACCAGATGAATGATCAGGTTCTTCTTATAAATGATTTGTGGATGAACTTTTACAACCTTTACAAAACATGATTAATCTTACAGATTAATCTGTAAGAGGGAAGATGCCAAAGAATTGGAAAGAGGCCAATAAAATATTATCATTCTAACATCAGAGGGACAAAATTTGCCTTTAACAGGAGACTATAGGTCAATATCATTATTGAATAATAAAAACTACAAGTTGTTTGCAATTTTTTTGGCTGATAGATTGAAAATAATTTTGCACTGATTTCTTCATTTCTTCATGGAGATCAACATGGGATTTTACTTGAAAGAGAGTTAAAGGACAACCTTAGAAAACAACCCACCAATCTTTCCATAAAGTAATTTTGTGCAGTAATTTTGCTGTGGTTATCATATGTAAGGTTCCCTTAATTTTTCCAAATGTTGGTCCATTGGTCCCAACATTTGCTCTCAATTGTATATTCATCTTTAAAATTTTCTAAATCAATCTATATACTTGAAACCACAATATTGTAGGGTTTTTTTTACATATCCACCAAATACGATAAAACGTCTTTGCTGTTCCTATTTCCAACATGTATTTGAAATGCTTTCACACATTTTAGACAATTTTTCTGTTATCATATACCAGCAGTACGTAATTTTGTAAAAATTCTCTTTAAGATTATAATATAATGTAATTATATTTCAATCCTTTCAACCACTTATATAACCCATTGTTCTATATATATATATATATATATATATATATATATATATATATA